AACCTTAATTTAACCCATTTATTACTCGTGTCAACTGATCATGTTATTTTCGGATTCGGTTTGAGTTGAGTTCGTATTAACGGTAAAAAATTGACACCCCTAGCTTCAGCAGATCAACTTTTTATTTTTGCTGAAGCTGTTAGATTTGAAAATTTTATTAAATCATATCTTAATCTTGCTTATTCTAGCGATTCTAGAAATACTGCTAGAAGTGACTGTTTAAAGGTTTTTAATGAAATGAAAAAAAAATTTGATTACCGAATTTTTAAGTTTTACTGCTACAATATCTTATGCTTCTGATTTATAGACGGGTCGCAATAAACTAGATTTTATTTGTGTTAAGACTCATTTTATTGATTCAAGTTAGGTGTTGCATAAAAAAAATTATTGCTTTTTGTATAATAGAATATCCTCATGCTGCTTCTTATATATTTCAATGTATTATGGGTGTACTTAGAGAATATGGAGTTGTTGATAAACTTTTTAGTATTACTTTTGATAATCATTCTGCTAATAATGTCGTAATAGACATGTTTAAGAAGAATTTGCATCCTACTTTGGGTGGTGAGTTGTTTCGTGTAAAGTGTGCAAGTAGAAAAATTCAGGCAGTCAATTCATTTTATTGCTTCATCACTGTCTAGGCAACAAGTTTTTTTTTTTTTTTTTTCTCATTTATGTAGAACATATGGTCTAAAATCTAGAAAGTTTTAAAGCCGACATTAAAACTCATTGAAACTCTACATTTTCTTATGTTACAATCTTGTGTAGATTATCATCATGTAACTACATATTTTATTAATGCAAAATATTATGATATGTAAGTAACCTCACATGATTGGGAGTTGGCTTTGCTCTCCTAGAATTTTTGAAAGTTTTCTATAATGCTACAAATATTTGTTCAAGAGTTTATTACATACTTAATGTGTTGTTCTTAATCAATTGTATAACATTTCTAATACTTTTAATACCTATAGAGAAAATATATTTTTTTGTTGACATTTGTTCCATAATTGAAGAACAATTTAAAAAATATTGGGAGCTCATGCCACTTATTTTTTATTTAGGTATGGTAATGGATCCTAGAATAATTTTATTTGGTATCCTGGTGCTACTAAATGGAATTTTTGAAAATTTAAACATGCCACTTCATGTTACTTTAGACGATATTAATAATTCATTGACTTCTATGTACTATTTATATCAATCTAAATATACAAATAATATAGGTACTACTTCTTTATTATTTTCTATGAGTAGAAGAGACCCATCTTGGTCTATACTTGCCAAGATTGGAAAACAAAGATCCAATGTAAATTCTTATCGCACTAAACTTTATATTAAAGATTGATTTGGCAAATTTTCTTATCCAAGAGCAAATAGATCATTTTGATATTTTGGGATGATGGAAATTACATAAAAGGAACTTTCATGTTCTTTCCATCATGACACGTAATATAATTACTCATTTGGTGTCCATAGTAGCCTCGGAGTCTGCTTTTAGTGTAGGTAATAGGGTATTGGACGAGAAGAGGAGCATATTAACTCCAAAATCTTGGAATGTCTTATGTATATGGAGTGGGAGAATGCAACACTTAGAGCTCAGAGTTGGAAATATGACATGACTAAAGACTTTGCAAACATAGATATAAGTAATGAATCAAATGAGCAGCGAAAAAATGTAATCCATTTATTTTATTTTTATAATTATTGTGTATTTGTATTTCACATTGTATCTTATGCAATTCTTTATTTTTATTTTTTTAATCTGTATTACTTCTCTATCTTTCGGGTAAAGCTCACTACGTCCCCCTTTAGGTGTAATATTTTATTTTATATTCATAAAATATCCTCGCACAATTTAAGGTTTGTCCAAAAATTTGTAAACAAAATATTCATAGTAATTAGTTGAGAATTGATATATAAGCACGAAACAAGCACGAGACATGACACGACATGAGCATTATCTGGGCACGGTCATGAATAGGGCCTAGTCCATGGACCGGGCTGGGCTCAAGTCCAAACACACAAGGCACAGGCATGGTTCGAAACGGGTCTTGTCAGGCATGGCACGACACGAAACACGATTAAACATGAATGTTAATAGACCAGGCTGACACAACATGACACGTTTGGCACCTCTAAGCATGTATATTCTATTATTATTTTTTTGCAAATAAGTACAAACATGTACTTTTTAAGTCATTAAGGACATGTGTGTGTGCAATATATGAGGTGTGTGTCCATACTTGTCAATTTTAATATTATTAATTACAAAAATATATCTTATCTTTATTGTTTTATTTATCTCCACTGATTTCATAGGTACTGCTTCAGCCCACTTTGTAAAATAATCAAGGGCTACTATTATGTAAAAATGTTGTTTTGATGACCCAAAGTGAATTTGACCAATATAAGGATTTGACCAACTCCTGAATGGTCATGACTTTACAATTGAATGTAATTCAACAGTAGAGACCCTCTGGATTGAATCATATTTTTGACAAGCTTGATATTCCTTTGCACGGGTGATGCGGTCATTTCTTATAGTTGGCCAATATTTTCCATACCTATGAATTAGCCACCTCACCTTGAGAATAATTCTCTGTTTGCCAGCCACAAAATTTAAGTCTTGCACTCGATTTCTAAATCTAATGTAATTTTTAGTTGAGTGCTTAAATATGTTATGCCATTTTCAATATTTTTTTCCTTTCTTGTCTTTCTTTGGTGGAATACTGTGTTCCTAAGATAAGACAATGAACTTTTGGTTGATCATCTCATTAAAGAGAGCATTAGCCATCGATAGGTTAAATGAATACTGCCTAGAGGTCTAAGGTGTATCTTTTTTAAAGAGTCTTTAATCTTTTTTAGGGTTTTACACATGATTGGTGATTTTTTAATGATCTGTGCCACATCTATTTCAACCTCTCCATCGAAGTCTTGGAAATAAGGTCCAAATAAACTATTTTTTCTCTGTTGGTCTTCTCTAAGTTACATTTTATATCTAGTAGTCCTAGTTGAGAGTTCAAATGGGTACCTGAACTCCATTCATTCGAATTTCTTCCTCAATTCGAAGTCTAATTCATTTTAGACCAATTTTACCAGTTCGACTTCAAGCTAGTAAACATAACACTTGTTTCTATCCTTTTTGAAATTGTTGATGTATTGTTCTGCAGATTCATTTGATTTGTGTCTTAGATCTACCATTAAAACCTCTAGTTCATTTCTAAAATATTGATCATCAAATTACTCTTCTATCTCTTGCCATATCTGAATTGAATTAGCAGACAAGTTAATAAACCAAGCAAAAGCATTCTCGTGAGTGATTGTAGGAACAATTTCATTTTCAAGTTCCCATTATGTGCAATTTTTCCATACCGGAAAAGTGAATTTTTCTCTGTGTTCTATTGTGGATTGATTCTCTTCACCAGAGAAGAGATGGAATTATGGGATTTTATAACCCATTGGGGGCTCTTCGTAATCAACCCATGGAGGGTATGATTTTCTGAACACAAGCCTCTTAGTTTTTCTTAGGTCAAGGCCATGTAAATCCTGAATCATCTCCACCAATTGGTTTTTGTTGAAAATGATCTGGTGGCCATTGATTTGTTCACCCTTATCAAAGAGTCACCCCCTGTTCTTGGGTTGAACTCATCTATGAGTTCTAATGTAGGCATGACAAATCTCTCATATCCTCTCCTAAGAATTTTAGGGACCATCATTGGTCCATTTATTTCCCTAGGATTTCTTCCTGGCAAAAAGTTTGAGAGGACTTCCATAGGTTCTTCATCGAACATCAAGTTAAAATGGTTTTGGGGTGGGATACCTAGTCTTTCATTAGCAACCATCGGTGGTGATTTTTGATTTTCTATAGAGAATACCACAGGACCAATATTTTCTTCATCCACTACTTGATTTCTAATCGCGGTGTTTGATTTTTGATTGAATGGTCCTAACATTGGTGTTGGGACACTCAATAATTCATGCATGACATTAACTAGTTATTGCCTAATGCCATAATTGGGATTGTGCAATACCTATTTTCAAGTTCTGCATAAACTCCTGTATTTGCACACTTTCTTGGCCATTGGATTAACTATTCTCTGGATTCACTGATTCCATAGGATGGGTACTCGAACTTGCTTCATGATTGCCATCAACTGACATCATTTCTACAGTTTTATTGGTCCCAAAAATAATCTCGTTTTACTTCCTTGTTCGTACCATATTTCTTGATCCCAGTTAGTGATTTTGTCCCACTGAGCGTGCCAAAAGATTGTTGCTCCAAAATTTATTGCGATCAATAAAATGCCTCAATCGACAAACAATTGTTAGGCAATTGCTTGTGAATGGGTTCAATTGACACGTTTCAGGGTTTCCTTAGATGAAATTTTAAAGCGATGAATATGCAGAATGATGAACTTATAAAAGAATATTCCTTTATTAATTCAGTTGAATGCATTTCAATTACAGAAAGACTAAATTAACAACCTTTTGATTATAGTACTAACTATTTCCTAAAACTAACTTTAGCACTACTCCCGAATGCCTTGATCATGGGTCTTTTGGAGGCGTTTGAGTTCTTTGTTAACTTCCTTCTTCTTCTCCTTTTACAGTCATTTCCTTCGACAATTTTTCCCTTTATTAACGGTTGCTTGACTTTGTAACTCCCAAACAGTTATTCTTCTTTTAAACCAAAACTGTGACTGATCATTTCCCGCATTTTCTTCAGATTTTAACATGTTTCAACCTTTTAATGACTTCAGGCTTGCCAACAACACGCATCGAATGTCTTTATAATTTTGTATTAATTTTATATTTTTAGTCCAAATAGTACTTTGAAAGCTGCTAATATTTTCCTAAAATATATCATTCCAGTGACCGCCGCTTTAACTTCAGTCTACTCTCCTCAAGGTTTTTTGAGATTGTTTCTCACTTACTATGCCTTTCCACTTGATGTGAGGTAAGAATTTCTACCAAAGCATAAGCTCACACACAAAGACACTCTATATCAAGCCATTCAAAAGATAAAACAACATGCATATATCATAAAGTTGTAATGACATTACAACCAAACATTAATTCATCCAAATACAAGAACAATCGAAAAGGTGGGAGCCAGAAACTCTCCTTATTCCTCAAAGCATCTCACTTAGTATATATAACCGCAGCGCCACAACACAGATTCATCGGTACTGGCTGGCTAGTTTCCCCTCCTTGACAATGTAATTTTGTGGAGGAAAATCTTCTCCCTTGAAGTACCTTTCCAGCATGTCTTTGACTCCGGCGGCATACCGTAACTACATCGTTTTTATTTGTAAGAGTTGGAGTCAGAAACTGAAACACACCAGGGAAAAAATGAAGGTAAATGAAGAAGAATTATAAGGGATTTTGTACCTGTCCATCAATTGTAGTACCAGAAATATGGGGGGTCATAGCTTGGTTCGGCATGTACCGCCATGGATGGTCCTTTGGAGCTGGTTGTGGGTTCCACACATCCCCACTATAACCTAAGACCAAAATATCCATAAAATGGAATGGTTAAAGGCTGGAGATTTACACAAAACCCCTGTTTTAGTCAGAGGTCTTCACCTGATTATTGTGGTTTTTAATCTTTTTTCCCTTTTTGCCTTCGGTAACTTATTTCCTAAACAACGGTGACTTGCATAAAAACGTGTTTTTCAATCTAATCTAAAAGCGTGTTTTCAATCAGGACAATCTGGTCAAAAACTGTGTTTTTTAGTCCATCGGTGCTTATGCATGAGTTAATTAGCTCAGCTCAGTAGTGTTCCTCTTTTGTTTTGTTTATCAGCAGATACTTGATCACACAATCAAATCCAAGAATTTTGGGAATGTTCCAAGTTACCAGCAATGTGTCCGCTGGCACACGCATCAGCAACTGCTTGCGTATCCATGATTGCTCCTCGCGCGTTGTTGACAATCAGCACTCCCTTCTTCAACTTAGCAATAAGGTCTTTGTTAAACATCCCTCTGAATCACAAAACCAGAAATCTGATAAGTCAGATTTGAATAACATGTCAGACTATGACCCGACTAAATAATACCAGGCTAAAACCCTCCAACGACTTCACTGATTCTGAAGAATATCAAAGCGATGGAGAAAATAGAAAAATTTTCTGACGATTTCTGATTAAAAGAATTTCAGATAAACTAATTGGGAGTAAAAATCCAAGACAGCGCAAAAACACGAAGTCCTTACTTTGTTTTCTCAGTAAGAGGCATGTTGATGACAATTATGTCACATTTGGGCAGCATTGCATCAAGATCCTCCTCGTACTTTGCCCCTAATTCTTTCTCCAATTCAGGTTCCATCTTCAAACGATCATGGTAAAGCAAATTACAATTAAAAGGCTTCAACCTTTGCAGCAAAAGCCGGCCAATCCGTCCGGCGCCAACAGTTCCAACAGTCTTGGCTTCAAGATCATAAGCTCTGTAAGCAATGCCTGCAACATTCCATTCCCCTTTGATTACCTGATGGTGGCCGGGTAGGAAATTCCGAACAAGAATGAGTATCCTCATGAGTTCATCTTCTGCAACTGAAACGGTATTACTTCCGGTGATCTCCGCCACCGTCAATCCGGCAGCTGCGGCAGCCTTTAGATCGACATGATCGGAGCCGATTCCGGCTGTGAGTAACAGTTGCAAATTTTTTGCCTTCTTGATCCTTTCGGCCGTGACGTAGGCCGGATGGAAGGGGGTTGTTATTAGTACATGGAGATCTGGAATGTGTTTCTCAAGTTCTGAAAATGAAGAATAGAACAATCAGAACAGAATGGTAACATATTTCATTAAATTCAATACATAGGATGTAGCCATTGCCATGGCATGGCAATTATAGTTAGTTCAATAGACTAACTTACCACAATCTGGTCCTTCTTTGTCGTCTGTGACAATGTACTGGTGGCCTTGTGATTCCAACCAGTTTCTAATGCCCAAGGCATTCTCCACACATCCTACGAAATTGGGATTCATGGCAGCATACTCATTTCCCTTGTAGAACACACCAACTATCTTTTTACTTCCAGCAGAAGCCTGTTTACCATCAGAGCCCAAAAAAAAAAAAAACATGCAAGACTTCGACAAGAGAGTTAGTTTGTTTATTAAATTTTAGGAGTAATTTACTAATGTTACTTTTGGTTTGTTATGTAATATTTATGAAGGTTTGTCCCTAGTTTCTATGAAGTTTGGTTTACTGTCTCCTACTGAAGGATTGGTTAGATAGGTGATCAAAGTTTGTCGGACTTATTGATCCTATATTTCACATTGATTTAGTCAAAAAAATGAGAATTTTTTTTAGTGAATTTAGCATTGCTTAAAACATAATATAAAAGCATGGGCAGGAAAAATATAGAGAGGGAGAGAAATGATTATTTTAAGAAAGTGTTTTTGGGAAGATTTTTAGGAAAGTATTTTTTAATATTTTTATATTACAAAATCTGTTTAATTATAAAAAATAATAAAATCTCAATAATTCACAAAATTAATTATTATCTCATCGCTTCTGACCAATAAAAAAACTTTTCACTACAAAAGTCTTTCAGGCAGGCAAGTCTAGAACCTTCTCTCTCTATTACTGTTTTTTTTTTTCACACAGCAGCTCTCTCTCTCTCTCTCTCTATTATCTTCTCACACAACAACTCTCTCTGCCTCCCCATTATCTTCTCCCACAGTAACTCTTTTTCTCTCGCTCCATTATTGCCTCACACAGCAAAAACAAAGACACACCCACGGTCCCACACATGTAACAAAGACACACACACCCACACACTCACATACATCGCACAATACATATATATATATATATATATATATATATACGTACACATAAATTTGTGTATATATACAGATCTGAACACAGATCTGTATATATACACAAATCTGAATACAAATCTGTTGCATATAGAGAGAGAGGAGATGATTTGTTTGAGAGAGAAGGCTATAAGTGTTCGCAATTTCTTTATATACACTAACTCACACACACACATTCACATAGACGGGCAAAGATCTGTGTATATACATAGATCTATGCTCAAATCTGTCTATATACACAGTTCTGAAACTGGATTAGAGAGAGAGGGAGAGAGGGAGAGAGGGAGAGAGGGAAAGTTGCAAGAGGGAGAGGTGGAGAAGATGAACGGCCAATCACCATTTTTTGTCTCCAACAAAACTCGAAGGAGACGTCATTAATTTGGAGATGAGTGTTTTCCAAGTGAGAACACCATTTTATTCTTTTCCAAAATCACTCTTCAATTCCCAGAATTTCTAAAAATTGGAGAATAAATAAACTAACCAAAAAATATCTCCTTTATTTTTAGAGAATTGAGAACAAAAAATTATTTCGTAAATACAAACCAAACAGCCCCGAGTGTTTTGGCCAAAGACGCAGGCGGCGGACAGATCGGGCGTGAGGAAGGGACTGTTTCGCTTTAGTTTTTGTGTTGCTATTTCTTTTCTCGGTCAAATGATTAGTTTCCATATACTAAACATAGAGATTAGCCACAAGAAGTCAACTGAAGTACCAAATACTTTTATCTTTTTTTCTTTAATTTTCTAGTTTTCGTTCCGAGAATTCACATGCCAGTCCATATCCAAAAACTTGAGGGTGAGCAAGCCCCGGACCAGTGGGCCCCTTTTAGAGGAGGGTTTGTGATTTGGAGGGGGTGCCGGTGATTATGATCGTGGCGGTGGTGGTGGTGGTGATGCTATGGCGGTAATGGGTGGTGAGTTGAACTAAGAATGGTGTGGAAGAAGATAAGAGTGGTGGCGTTAATGGAGTGAATGAAGTGATCACTGTTATTACCAAAGATTTAAACTACTTACTAAAAATCAAATTATTATGAGTTAAGAGAAGATGACAGGAAGAGCTTACATGAAAGTGTCTCGCTAATGGCGACGAAGCTAAATTACCCGACGAAGCAAAAGAACGAATTGCAGAGACAACAACACGCTTCATGGCCATCTCTCTCTCTCTCTCTCCCCCCTCTCTTAGTTACCCGTACTGCTGTACAGAGTTCATTGGAGTGTCTTAAGAACCGAGAATTTATAGGCTAATTACAGCAACCATTAACCAAATGAGCAATATTACTTTGATTTAAAATATTGACCTTATTTATTAATATAATAAATTATTGTCATTGATTTAATAAAAATACCTAATATTGAGATTTACTACCTATTTAATGGTTAAAATTATTAAATTTAATTTTTAAATTCATCTAATATTATTTTTTTTATTTTAATTAATAATAAATAATTATTTAATTTAACATTAATGATCCAATCATTTTTGTGCATTACTGCAGGCCTATAGCTTTACTTGTAGGCCTGTAGCCTTACTTTTTTTTTTTTTTTTGATAGAATCAGTAAGAATTTAATTAATGAGAAATATTTGAAAGGAGGAGAGTCACTAAAAACTTTGTTTAGTAGGGAGAGAAAAATTGTATAATGAAAAGTTAGAGGGATAATTAAAAATGGATAGATAAGTTTTTATTCCAATTTATTAAAATTAATCTATTCAAAATTGATAAGAAAAGTGAAATAAAAGTTAATTATATGTGTTAAAATATATGTTATTTATTTATATATCTTTTGATATATACATATATCATATTTATCAATTATATATTATATATACATTAATTTTGATGGGGTCTCGAAAATAATAGTCCAAACCTAATTAATGAGTTGTTACTTGGATTAGTGAGTTCAATTGAATATGAGCTTGACTTGTGAATAATAGAAGGCACAGAGTGTAAGTGGTTCATCATAGTCGAAAGACCGATGCTACGTCCACTGTAATAAAATCTCTTACTCCTTAAGGTCGTATGTTGAGATTAGATGAGTATATTGAGGTTGTTGGCACTGAGCCTTATAAGGGTTTATGCTTAGTTTGTTGTGTATCTAGGGCTGAGAAATACAGTGAGGGAAAAAAAAATTCTCTTCTGGTAGGTTGATACTGTTCTATTTATATCAGTCCTTCCTTCTAGGGTTCCCGGTGGCTCATTCTACTTTTCTGTTGAAACTGTGGGGTCCCCTGTCACTGTCCTGCAACAGTCTATGCTATTCGGCGCTGTTATGCCCATGATCTCTAGATCGTTATGTGCCCACAATCTCTAAATCGTTATGTGCTGGTCCTCTGGTGCTGTTGGGCTTTTTCCTTTCGGCCCTTTCTACTATTCGACGTGGGCTGATTGGGGGTTCTCCTTTTGGGTTAATAAACAGGCAAGGGTCTTCTAGGCTTATTGGGCTCTAGGGTTATGGCGGCCATGCCTAAAATTTTGCCCTTATCAGTTGCCCCCCAGTCCCTGGTTATGAGGATAACGTCATCTCTGACCTAGGGTTAGAATCGTCTTTTCTGAGTTTGGCATTTATTTCTCTGTGTGGCAGATATACTTGGTTGCCGACTTTGATCTGATCTAGACTATGCTAATGTCCGCTGGTCATGATGGGATGATTTTTGCCCACGTGTTACTAGCGGGTGAGCCTAATGGTACAAATTCCTTTGCGTGTCCTGTCACCTTTCTGTCACGACTTAAATGCTGTGTATAAAAAGGGAAGCCTCTTCGCCTTTTTCACTTTGCGTTTTTTGAAAACTCCTCCTTGCGTCTCCTTCTCTCCCTTTTGGCTTTCGAGGCGTCTTGTTCTAGGCTTTTTGGTGACTTAGGACCCTTGCGTTTTTTATTCCTTTCTGCTTCTAACGTCCTATTAGGTACGTCTTTCTTCCCTTCTTCTTCTTGTTCGACCTGGATCCCTTCAACCCTCCCTGGTGGGGTTTCGGGTTTTGCTTTCTGATTTGGAGGTTTAGTTACTTCAGGAGTCGTTTCAACGACCTTTTTTTCCTTTTGTACTTTGTAGATCATTCTACCTTGTTGAGGGTGTTATTTCTTAGGGGTTAGTGTTTGAAACCTTTGTTTCTGATGGATTGCGCCTTGCACTTGCCTCTCTGCATTTTGGTTTTCGGGCTGACTCCTTGATGAGGAAGTTTGTCATTTCTTCCTTTCACGGCTAGCGAGGAACCTTCTGGATCTGCCCCCGTGGTCTCGACCTCAGTTTCTTTAGCAAAAGATCGGGCTCGTCTGGCCCTTTCTCCTATTCCTTCTAACCAGCCAAGGAAGAAGAGGTCTAAGCCGATCCCACCCTCCATTCATAGGAAGAAAACTCGTCGTGACCAATCCGACCTGACTTGTTGCTCCGAGTGGACTTCCAGTTGCCTTGGTGATGATGATTTGGAGAAGCTAAGGCGAGAGTATCATTTCCCAGACTTTGTGAAATTGTACTCCCCCGAGGAATACGAGAGGTGCAACTCCTATCTTCCTGGGCTGACTTGCTTCTTCAAATTCGCATTTCGGGCTCTCCTCGTTCATTGGTTTGAGAGTGGGAACGAATCTCCTCCCTCCATTCGAGAATTCACATTCTTCTTTCAACTGAAGTCTTCTCCGTCCTTGGGCTTCTTGTTTTTTGCCAAGAGGGTAAAGGTGAAGACTTTGATTTCTGGGCTTCCTTCTTCTAACAAGGGGTGGAAGTTGAGGTTCTTCTTCGTCAGAGGTGACTCCTAGGAGTTGACAGGGGAGCCTAACGACGTTCCTCACGTTCCTAGGTCTTGGGGGGTTCCAAGGAATACCCGTAAGGCTAATCTATTGGTTACCTTTTCCTTTTCTATTCTCATTTTCCTGTCTTACTTAACTTTTGATCTGGTTTGTAGATTTCTATCCGAAACTTAATGCAGAGGAGGCTGCCAAAGTTGCTAAGGCCGAGGCTTTAGGGTTACAATCCTTCTTTGACCAAGTGACTGATCAGAACCTTGTTGCGTATGAGCTTGGGCCTCCCGTCAATCAAGCCTAGAGATTGCAACATCATCTGCCCCCTAGTTTGAACCCATGGATCAGGACCTAATCATGGTGTTATTTTTGGATACCGAGAAGTCAAGGAAGAGGAGGAAGCTGGTGAAGGGCTTGGCGTCGTCATCCGTGGAGGCCTCAATATCTGAGCCAACACCTGTCTTTAGGAGGAAAAAAATATGGACCCTCCCTCGCTTAGAGGTGTGGTTGCGCCTTCGCTATCCCTTGGGTCACCTAAGAGCAAATCTCCTCTTGAAGGGGCTTCGAGGGGACAACTTGGGGTCTCGGTGGCCTCTTACACTTCCCTTCAGCCTGCTTCTCAGAAAGGCGGGAATGTGGGATCTGTTCCTTCCAAGTCCAAAATGCAAGGGAGCCGCTTCCTTTGCGATTAAGAGGCCGCCGTGTCTGCTTTATCCGAGCTAATCTCCAAGTCGGATCCAGGGTGGCCATGCAAGTCCCTTTCAAAAGGAAAATCTAGCACACCATCTAGGGCCTAGCTGAGGTACTTTCTGTTTTTAATTGTGTCTCCTCTTTAGAGCCCTTTTTTTCAGAGCTCTTTTGGTCATCTCCTGCACTGACTGACCCCATTCTTTTTCAGTCGCTTGCCTGTGTGAAAATAATAGATTTTCATCATGAGAAGGAGCTCCTGAAGGCCAAGGAATCTTTCGATGTCGTGATGGTGGCTAAGGGGGCCACCGAGAAGAAGGTGTGGATTCTAACATCTAAGGCTGTTGAGTTGAAGAGGATTAATGACGAGCGGGACTCCCGCCACCAAGACCACATCAAGCTCAAGGAGTTGTAGATAAGAGATAAGGACGCCGACTTGGTAGCCAAGGACTCTGAGCTATTGTCTCTAAGGGCCAAGGTGTCCGAGCTTCTGAAAGAGAGCACCTTTGCCTTTGTGAAAGGGTTTGTAAATTACAGGGAACAGATCGAGGATGCTTATCCTGACCTCGACCTAGATCCCTTCGTGCCACAACTTGGGTATAAGAAGGTAGCTGTGACAGCCAAAGAGGCTGAAACACCTGGTGCCGAGGAGGCATCCGTACCCAAGGTAGCTGCAACCAAAGAGTTCAGTGACTCGACAGAGGCAGCTAGCGGAGGAGTCGGCGGTGGTGGTGAGATTGTTCTTTGAAGCTAATTTATGGCCGCTTCTTTTTCGTTTTCCTGTAATTTGCTGAAGAACTTTGTAGCACTTGCTCTTCTTCTAAGTGACGATGTAACTTTTGGATGATGTACTTTGCATAATTTTCTTCACAAGGACATTATTGCTGGTTTCCCATTTCCTATGAATGATGTGTTCTTCTTTGGCTCTAATGGATGAAAATATTTAGTTTTGTACTATGGCATTGCAAGATTCGTTGCTAGTTTTGGGGCCTCAAACTATGATTCCTGAGTCGTCTTCGGGTAACTATGATAAGTGCGAGAATCAGGTTGTCTGAGCCAACCCCCCTCATGTAGCTGAGTTGACTCCACTTTTTTCCTAAGGTGGACTAGCTTCAAACATGTGAGGTGACTTGGACAACCCATTTTCCTGAGCCTGCCCCTTTCCGAGCACCTTTGTTTTAACATTGGGGCTATTTTGGTCTTTTCTCATTTCTTTTCGTGTACTCCAGATTTGACAGTTTCAATCGCTTGAGAATGTGCACCATTAGTGAGGTTAGTGGCTCCTCGAACGTGGTGCCCTGAAAGACCCTATGGTGCCACGTGTCCCCTTCTGTAAATGCAAGGGACATGTATTAACTCTATCCGGCGAAAGTGATGGGCACGTGTTTGCTGGGCCTACAAATAGGTACCCCCGAAGAATGATTGCCTTAGTCTGGGTGCCAAAAAGGAATTTTTGCTTCTTCTTCTTGGTGTAACACTTCTCCTTCTCCAGTGTTTAAGAGAAACTATTTTCCTTCTGTTCTCATAGCCAAGGTCCCTTCTTCTCCACGTGACGTTATGGAACGACTTTTCCTCGATGTCGAAGTCAACGAAATCAACGAAGAAGAGGCTCAGTCTATCCCCAAGAGCTTCAAATTTTTTCCTAGAATGGTCATGCGCCATGCTGATTTGCGTCGATTTTATTATTTGGTCAGGGGCGAGACTTGCTTCTTCATGGCCCCTTTTTGGTTAGGGCTCCGGTTTCCATTTTCCTCCTTCATGCGAGAGGTTTTGCACTTCTTTAGTTTTTTGTCTCGCTATGCTTCTCCCAGCAACTTG